ATCAGTCTTTAATGCTTTGCTTTTTACTTGTGCAATCTCTGCACAAAAGTGTGAACCTCTATCTGAAGAGGTATTAAATAACTAATTCAAATTATATATATATAATTATAAGAGGTATTATATAATTTTATAATTATATTAATGAATATAAATGTAAATAATTAAAATACATTATATAAATATTAATATAAATTATTATATATATAAGAGGTATTATATAATAAATATTATATAATTATATATCTGCCTCTTAATTTTCTTAAAAGTGTATAGGGGTTGGCCACCACAGGATATATTGATTTTGTTATTTCATTTATAGCCCTTAAATCCTGAACTAGTCTAGAAGTTCCATTTGGCTTCTTGACTGGGAGAATTAGGGTGTTAAAGTCTGATTCACACTCTATTAAAAGCCCCAATTTCAAAACGTTTTCGGTTATTGGTTCAATTCCTTTTCTGTCTTCTAACCTCAATGGATATTGTTTCCTGACTACTGGCTTTGCTCCTGGTAGTAATTCTATTTGAATAGGGATTGCATGTTTTGACTTACCAGGTACATCAGTAGCCCATACCAAGGGATACACTTGACTTAAAATCTGGCTAACATTCTGCTTGTTTCACTCTGGTTTCGTGCAGCTCATGACCAAACTCAGGGCTGCTGTTAATTGTTTTTAATTCACCTGAAATTCAAATTTACCTTTTTCAAATTAAATCACAGCCCCTAAGTTTTCAAGTAAATCTCTACCCAACAGACGTTTTGGGGAGTTGGGCAAATATAAGAATTGATGAATTCCCATCTGTTCTCCAATTTTTATTTAGGAGGCTTTAGAAAGAAAGCTTTTGTTGATTGGCCTGTTACTCCCACCACTTGAACAAATTCATCACTCTTAGGAACTATGTCTTGGTTTAAAACTGAAAATGTGGCTCCAGTGTCGATCAGAAAGTCTAATTCCTTTGTACCTTCCCCTTGCTCCATTTTAACCAGCAGGTCTGCTCAGGAACGACTCACCAGTCCGCCTCATTCACTACTTTGATGAGCGATGACAGTTCCTTCTGTGTTTCTATTTGCTAATTTGGGGCAGTCTTTCTTACAGTGACCTATTTGCAGGCAATAGAAACACTGGTTTGGCCCTATTCTTGGCTGCTGGGAGGGGAAGCCTCCTCTCCCCCATGCGGACTGGCCTCTGCCTCAGCCTCTGGTGTTTGGTCCTGAAAAATTCGAATTTTGGGTTATAGCTTAGTATACCTCTCTGCTGCCGATAACACGTTTTTATCCTGGAGTGTACGTTATAGTTTAAGGCCTTTTGTTCATTCCTCAACCTGTCCCACCACTTCATGTGTTAAATAATCGATCTCTTCATCTGGTTTTGGCCAGGGGTCCTCTCGGGCCGCACGGAACCGCAGAGTGGGACTCCTCGCTCGCTTCTCAGCAAAGCCCGCGTCTCTCTCACACACACATTTGCACACTCAAGCACTCAAAAAGAGTTTTCTCTCCCTTTCAACTCTACGCGCTTGATTTTGCGTTACCTCACAAAGTCACAAGATGTCGCTGTAGGACCACAAAATACACGCTCTATACTAGATCTGAGTGAATTCTTACAAATACATGTTTATTTGTTGAACCACTATAATAACTCACCCATCTAATCTCTTCCAGGCTTTGATTAGCTCCACATCTAATACAATGCAAGTTTAGGGTTTGATTTAATCTTATTTCTTGCTTCTCCCTGGGTCCTTAAAATATATTTACCACAGTTGTTGCACAAAGCCCTTACGTAAAATAAGCAATAATAAAAGGACAACTCTTAATTTTGGGCTTCAGATTTGCGTGGCCAGTTCTCAGTTATTTATTCAGAGTCACCAGATCTACTTCCCATAAACGATTCCTTTGGAATTCCCTCCTTCAACCTGCTCACTTTGGATGCAGCCCAGGTTCCCAATGGCTTTCCAGTCTGGGAGCTCCAACTGCCGGCTCACGGGGAGTTTGGCATCAACCTTCACCCCCAAGTCCTTCTCCCGGGGCTGCTCAATCCCTTCGCCACCCAACCTGTCGGTGTGTCTGGGATTGCCTTGACTGGGCTGTAGGACCTTGCACTTGCCTTTGATGACCCTCGTGATGTTCCCATGGTCCTACCTGTCCAGCCTGTCCAGGTCCCTCTGGATCCATCCCTTCCCTGCAGCCTGTGACTGCACCACCCAGCTCGGGGCCTTCCCTGATCGTGCTGGGGGTGCCTCGATCCCACTGTCCCTGTCCCCACAAAGCTGTTGGACAGGATCAGCCCCAGCACCGACCCCTGAGGGACCCCACTGCTCACTGGTCTCCCCAGGGACAAGGAGCCCTTGACCACAACTCTCTGTGTGCAGCATCCAGCCAGTTCTGGATCCCTGGAGTGCTCCATCTATCCAATCCATATCTCCAATTTGGGACAAGGATGCCAATCCTTGGCACAAGTCCAGGCAAACAATGTCAGCTGCTCTGCCCCATCCACCAGTGCTGCAGCCCTGACATGGAGGGTCACTAACACTGGGAAAGCAAATCCCAGGGAGTAACCAGGATTCCTCCAAGGCAGGTACATGTGGTAATTTTTCTCTTTGGAAGGGAAAAGCATCCCATGGGATCCAGCTGGAGCCTCCCCAAACATTGCCTGGTCCCCAGACATCTCTGATTTGGGGACCTGAAATCCTGGGTAGTGGCCCTGGACTCCTCCATGGCAGGTAGAAGGTGATTTTTCTTTTGTTGTGCATCCTGAAGTTTCCAGGATCTACCTGAGACTCCTTCTAGGCATCTCCCTGAGTCTTTTCACATCTCCTCTAAGGAGCTGAGATCCCAGGGAGCAGCCCCAGACTCCTCCGGGGCAGCTGCCTGGGATGATTTTGCACAAGGCAAGAGGGAGCTCTGCAGGCCTGGAGGAGCACAGGGGCTCTGGGGCTCTGCAGGCTCCGGAGAAGCTGAACGTGCCTCCTCCTGTGCCGGGCTCTGGGTCCCTGTGCCCTGCTGGGCACATGGAGGAGCAGCTGGAGCTGCCCCTGTGCCAGGGCTTGTGTCTGGGTTTGCTGCTGGACACAGCGAGGCCGAGCTCGGCTGCTGTTGTGGCCCAAGGGGCGCAGGGAGTGGGCAGTGCCCCGTGTGTTGCTGCCGAGGGCCCAGCAGGGCTGGCTGGTTCTGTGGCACTGCCCGGCCTGCCTGCCCTGCTGTCCCCTCCAGCTGCTGGCCGGGGGCAGGGGCTTCCAGCCCCGTCAGCACCTGCTCCTTGTGGCCCGGGGCATCCCTGGGCTGCCTCTGCTGTGGCCGGCACAGGGCAGGAAACGCTTTGCCCGGGGGGGGCTGAAAGGAGAGCGGGGACGTGCAGAGGCCGCCCGGCTTCCCCAGCCAAGGCCTGCTGGGCCCCGCCGGCAGCGGCTGCTGGCCAGGGCTGGGCCGATGCCGGGGCTGCAGAGGGAGCCTGCCGGGCCTATGCCCTGCCCATGTCCGTCGCTGCTCGGCACTGCTGGGGCTCCCTGCCCGCCCTGCTGCCCCGGCAGCTCCTGCCCCACTGCGGCCCTCGGCCGTGGCCGCCGGGGCTCCTGCAGCTCTGTGTGCCGCAGGGCCTGCCCGGCCTGTCCCCAGCGAGGGACGAGGCCCAGCCCGGCTGCCCTGAGGCTGCCGCTGCTGCAGCTGAGGGCGGCGGCAGGAGGAGGCTGCCATGGAGGCGACTGGCTCAGCGCGGTGCTGGGGAGCCCGGCGCCATCCCACCCCGGCCTCTCCTCCTGCCCCGGCCCTCAGCTGCAGTGGGCACCTGGGGGGCTCCTGAAACACCCCAGGGCAGGGCGGGTCCAAAGGGTTCCAATGTGCCCTCGGTTCCAGGAGTCCCGCGGTGTCACAGTGGCCCCTGGGTTTTAAAGTAGCCGGAGGGGGCTATAGACTGTTTTCTGTCAGAAGGTACTAGAAGCTTTCACTGTGCTATGAAAAGCCAGTGATAGTCAGCTCCAGGTGAATTTGGAACTCCTGGCCAGGCTGAGTCAATGAAGGTTCGCTTCTGTGATAACATATTTAAGAACAGAGGAAGAGAAGGTTTGTTGCACAGAACAAATTCCAGCCCGTAGAAGAGCAGAGGAGAACATGGGATAACAAGCAGACTACAAGGTCAGAGAAGAAGGAGGCGGGAGGAGAGGCCTGGGGGAGCCTCCCTCTCCCCCTCCAACAGGGAAAAGACTGATAGCCAAGCCCCCTGCCACTTGTGGAAGACTATTGGGGTGCAGAGACCCCCCTGCAGCTTATGGAGGAGCCTATGTTGGAACTAGTGGATGGATAAAGGAGGCTCAGGGGGCAGTGGCTGCCAGGGCTGGGGGTATCCCCAGCCCTTCGTGCTCAGCCTCTCTCAGCTCTGGAGCTCTCGCTGCTGGGCTGCAGCAGGGCTCGTTTGTCAGGCCCTGCCAGTACTGCAGCTTCCAGCGTTTTAGTGCTCAGTTATCACACCATTTATTTATTGCTTTATTTAATCCATTTACTATATAATTTTAGTTATTTACATATTTTATTTGTGTATTTATATATATTTTATTGATTTTCCTGATTTTTGTCACTTTATTATTTTAATGTATATTATGTTATTTTATTGATTTTATGTATTGTATTTTTATTGGAGGTATTGACATCATTTATTATGTATTTTATCAGCTTGTTTATTGACATGTTTTCTTTATAGGTTCTTTATTATTTCTTTATTATATTTTATGCATTGGTTTAATTTTATTTATATTTTTTGCATGTTTATATTTATTTATGTATTTATAATTTTACAATGTATTGCCATTTTTATATATTTTTATTTGCCTGTTTATATATTATTTTTCATTTTATTCATTTTATTGATTTTATATATTGATATAATTTTAATTTTATATATTTACTTGTTTCTTTAGGGAGTTTTTTATTAATTTTTGCTTGTTTCTTTAGGCAGTTTATTAATTTATTTATACTATTTTATAGATTTCTACGTTTTATTTGACTTGTTTATTCATATATTTTCTTTACTACAGAGCTGTGGGCACACATTCTGCAGGCAGCTCACTAAATGCAGTTTCCTTCCAACCTGAAGGGAGGCTTTGCTTTACAACATCTCTCCCAGGTGGCACTGGGTGATCGAAGGCTGGTTCTCCCGGCTCTGCCTGTGTCCTGCTCTCCTTGGAAAGCACCACGACCGGAAGGATCCAGATGTTGATCCCGATCTCGAAGACAATCACTAAAATACCATTAAACAGGCATAAAATGTCGAGAATCGATCAATGAAATGCCAGATCTGCCTGAAAATAGACACAAATACAGTGTTGTGGAGCTCCTGGCCTGGCTTTTCCAGCCGTGTGGGGGGCGGGAAGCCCTGGGGCCTCACTTCTCTTGCCCCCTAATTAGCAGCAATTTATTAGGCTAATTACCCGCTGGGTCATCCCTGAGCTGCTTTGTCGCTCAGCCCGGCATCGGGGAAGTCGCGGGGCAGCGGCCCCGCCGGGTCGTGCCGGGCCCGAGGGCAGCAGAGCCGGGCGGCGGCGGGCGGGGAATCCTCGGCGAGGGCGAGCAGAAGGGGCCGGGACCGCCGGCGCTGCCCCATCCCCGGCACGAAGCAGAGAGGGCCCCGGGCAGCGGCGGCGGCGGCGGCCGGGGCGCTGGGGGAGCCGCCCCGAGGGTCCCCCCCGCCCGTGGGCCTGAAGAGCCGCCCGGACGGGCGGAGTGGGAACACAAACTGGAGACTGAAGTGAATGCGAGACAGATTGGCACTGGGGGGGCCCGCGGGACGGGCCCTGTCGGGTGTCACCACAAAGGGGAAGTGAGGTTGGAACAGAATAAATTACAGAGAATAAACCAAAGTAAAACAAAAAAGCCGCACCGAGGGAACCTCCGCCGTCCCGTATCTAAAAGAGCTGCCTCGAGGGACGAGCGAGGAGTGGCGGCCGTGGAATGATCGCCCGGGGTGTGGTGAGGGAGGCGTGAATGGAATCAAACACAGAGAAGAGAATAAAATACACTAAAGGAGCCGCCCCGAATCACCGAAAGAGCTGCCCCGAGGGGACCCGCTGTCGGGTGTCGTCAAAGGGCTGCACCGAGGAGAGGGCGAGGTGGGAACAGAATTAACTATAGAGAATAAAAGAAAGAGAATAAAGAGCCGCACCAAGAGGGTCCCGCCGCCCAGTATCAAGAAGAGCCGCACCGAGGGACCGGCGGGGCGGCACCGGGCAGGCCGGACGATGTTCGGTGTCCTCGAAAAAGCCGCATCACGGGACGACGACAAAAGGGCGGCAGCGAGGGACGGGAGGTGTGAATGGAATAAAATACACAGAATAAAATACAAGAACCCCACCGGGGGGGGCTTCGCCGCTCCGTGTCACTGAAAGAGCTGCAGGGCAGGACCTGCCAGATGTAAACAGAATGAAATATAGAGAATAAAATAAATGGAATAGAATACCTGCGCCGAGGGGTTTCCGTCGCCTGGTACCTAAAAGAGCTGCACCGAGGGAGCACCGAGGCGGCCCCGGGGGGTGTGAGGGAGCGATGAACGGCCCCGAGGGGCCTCTGCTGCCCCGTGCCACTGAAAGTGCGGCCCCGAGGGACGGGGTGGGGTGGGGATCGAATAAAATACAGAGAATATACTAAACTAAGTCCAATAAAGAGCTGCAGCCCGCCGGCCGGTGTCACCCAAAGAGGGGCCGCGAGGGACCGGCGGGTGTAGGAGATTGTTCCATCTCTAACTCGCTATTTGTTTTTACATTGACCGCTGCAATAATCACTTGTAATTAATCTGTCCACCGAGGTGCGAGAGGTGTTAATGGGGCAATTTGGCACCTTGGGCAAGGCTTCTTCGAAACCCTTTGAAGTTTCACACTCTGCAATTAACCACTTCATACTAACGAAGCCGTTTCCATCAGCTGAGGTACATGCCAAGGGTAAGTTTTGGAGGAGCCCCCCCGAGCCCAGTGACTGAACTAAAGGGCGGACACCGCCTTTAGCCCTTGGCAGGACTGTCTGCATCGACCTGGGGGACATTTTGGTCTGCTTGAGGAACCCCTGGAAAGTCTCCAACAGAAAGTTGGTGCATTTTCCCGCCTTAGCAGCGCCAGCCTGCCTGGATACCAGCAGCTTAACCCACTAAAAACACCGTGCAAAGCTCTGCCCGGAGCCAAACTGGCCGCTGAGCGCCCACCAGGGGGTGTTTAAGGCAGTGCCCAGCGTTGCACGAAGGTCCGGTCCAGTGCAGTCGGTGTTGCCCAGGGTCCCGTGCTGGCTGCGGGCCCCACTGCTCGCTCTGTCCTGCTCGTGTCCCACCTGCCTGCGTCTCCTGGTTGTCTCGGATCCAGTCTGCTCTTCCCTGCTTTCTTCCAGTGACCATTCCCGGACTGCCTGAGGCTGACTACACCCGCTTCTCTCACTGGTGCTGGTAACCTTTTGGCACTTTCCTTTGGCAGCCTTTCCTTCTCCGCGCTGATGACTCATCAGTTGCCGGGAGGACGCGACGCAAAACGGGCCCCGAACTTTGCCCTCAGCCAATCAGAGCCCGTCCAAGCCCCCCGAAAACGGCCCCGCTCGGCTGATTTTGGGGTGGCAGCACCTGCCCGGCGCTGGGGATGGAGCGTGTGGGGGGAGCTGGGGCCGTGCTGGTGGTGCTGGGAGCGCCCCCGGCTGCGGGCGAGGAGCTCTCAGGTGAGCGGGGGGGTGTGGGGGGGGCGGTGAGAAAGGGGAGAAAAGAGGAAGTGAGACTCCCAAAAATGAGTGGCGAGGGAGGTTGGAACCCCCGAAATTTGTGGGGGGTGTAATAAACTATATTTTAAAGGGGATTCTTTTTTGTTAAGCTTAGTAAAACTTCAGGACATTGATATGTGATTTCCGTGTGTATTTCCCACATATCTGTTAACTGCTTCTAACAAGCTGCTGTTTGTTCCCGAGGCTGATAAGGAAGGGGGGAGGGAAGTCTGGCAGTATAAACTACACCAGCTGGGGACACTGAGAAGCTTCCTCTAAACAAGGAGTCAAAGTGATTTATATAGACGATAAGACTGGAAGGGGAGGAAAAATACCTATTAAAGGCGCATGCTCCAAGCCGGGTTCATCTTGCGGACATCGAGGAAGACTAAAAATCTTCATCACAGAGACCCCGGCCCACAAAGAAACCCCCAGACCACGGACGCCGGTAACACAGCCCAAAAACATGCATGGGGAAAACTTTGCAACTGAGCATGTGCAAAAAGCACATGCCCCGGACTATGTATGGATAAGAACCTATGTACTGAGCATGTCTGGACAGGAACCCGGAGGGTTCAAAAGGGAAGTTTGAGAGCTTGAGGGGGGGCGGCGGCGGCGAGCTGTGAGAGAACTTTCTTTTGTTCTAAACAGCCCCCCCCTCCCGGCGCGTGCCGATTGTTTATCTACCGCTTATTAATAAATTTGCTTGCTATTGTAAATTGGCTTCTTCAATTCCTTTAAGGCATTGCTGGTAACCTATAACAGGGGGAGTGTGAGAGACCCAAACTGAGCCCAGGGGGGTCTGAGGATTGGGGTGGGAGACGGGGAAAAGGGGGGTAGGAGAGCAGGAAGAGGAGTCCCATGGGGGTTCCTCCGTGTCCCCCGTCACTTGAGCCCTGGAGCGGTTCCCTGGGGCTCTGGGGGCGGGGAGGGGATGTTTGTCCCCAACCCCGCTGTCCATCCATGGGGGGCTGATGGGGTGGTTCCCCCACCCAACAGCCCATGCTGCGGGGGCCGTGGGGCGGAAGGGGGTGGGAAAGGGGGGTCTGGGGTGGCCTCCTGAGCTCCCAACGTGCTGTGGGTGCTGGGGCTGCTGGGGTAGGGGGGACACCCCCTGATCTGTGTCCTGCACAGACAGGGGTGTTCCAGGAGTTGTCCACGAGTGAGTGTCACTTCATCAACGGCACTGACCGCGTGAGGTTCGTGGAGGTACGCCCACTTCGACAACGATGTGGGAGCCTTAGTGGGGGACACCCCGTATGGGGAGGAGATTGCCAAGATCTGGGACAGCAGCTCGAACTGGCTGGAGGAGGCGAGGGCTCAGGCGAACATTTTCTGACGACCCAACTGCAAATTACCGAGACGCTTCCTGGTGAACCGCAGAGGTGAGCGCCCCGGGAATGACCCTGGAGCCCCTCAAACCCTCCTCGGTTCCTCCCCAGACCCTCAACTATGCCCATCGCCGTGACCTTTTCCCCCATCGCCAGCCCTTGCCCCTCTCTCTCAGTGTCCCCCAGTCTCTCCCAGTCCATCCCAGTCTCTCGCAGTGCCCCCCCGTGTCCATCTCAGCGGTGCCATCGAGCTCTAACGCCCCTCAGCCAATCAGAATGCACCTCTCTGATGACTCCTCAGTTGCCAGGCAGACCGGCACCGCCAATTGCCCCCCAGCAGTTTTCAGCCCCGCCAGGGTCCTTCTCAATCCATTCCCAGTCACTCCCAGTGTCCCCCAGACCATCCCAGTCATTCCTAGAGCCTCTGAGTTCATTCCTACTCCTTCCCAATGCCACCCAGACCATTCCAGTCATTCCCAGATCCTCCTTGTACATTCCCAGTCCTTCTCAGTCCACTGCCACATATCCCAGCTCTCTTGAGTGGTGCCCCAGCCCTTCTCCCTGTACCCCAGTGTACTGAGTCCTTCCCAGTGCCATCCAAATCCCTACCAATGTCCTCCAAGCCCTTCCCCTCTCTTCGGTGCCTCCCAGCTCAGCCCAGTGCCTCCCCTGTCTCTCCAGTGTCCCCCAGCATGTCCATCTCGCTGGTGCCATCGAGCTCCCAGCCTGGCCCCAGCCCCTGCTCTGCTCCATGATGGATTTCTACCCTGCCCGGTGCAGGTGAGGTGGTTCCAGGATGGGCAGGAGCTGCCGGAGCACGTGGTGGCCACCGACGTGGTCCCCAACGGGGACTGGACCTACCAGGTGCTGGTGATGCTGGAAATCCCCCCCGGGCGCGGGGTCACCTCGCCCTGCCAGGTGGAGCACGTCAGCCTGGAGCACCCCCTCAGCCACACTGGGGTACGGTCCGGCCCCCAGCATGGGGGGTACACGGGCAGGGGGGCTGGGGGAGCACTGGGGACACTGGGAGGCACTTTGGGGGACAATAGAGAGGCTGAGAAGGAGGTTGCGGGGTCCTGGGAGGGCTGAGAAGGGCTCTGGGGAGTCCTGTGGCTGACTGGGAGGGAGTTTGGGGCAGTCTGAGTGGGATAGGAGGGAGGCTGGGGAGGGCTTGAGGTGATGGGGAGGGAGTTGGGGAAGTCCTGAGGGGGCTGGGGACTGGGAGGGGTATGGGGGGGGGCCTGAGGGTGATGGGAAGGGCATTGGAGGGTCCTAAAGGGGATAGGAGGGGCTTTGTGGGATACCAAAGGGGCTGGGAAGGGACTGGGAAGAGGTTTCAGAGGGTCCTGGGTGGGCTGGGAGAGACTAGACAGGGTTTGTGGGGTCCTGGGTGGTCTATGGGAGGTTTTGGGGGTCCTGACCCCCCCCCAGCTCTCCCCAGAGATGCTACAGGTCACCGTCTGGAGCAAGATCCTGGTGGGGGTTGGGCCCGAGGCACTGCCCAGGGACACCTGGGGAGGCCCCGCCCGGCCCCTGTGCCTTCACCGCCCGGCGCTGCCGCAGCAGGAGCACGGCGGAATTCCCGAGGAAGGAGATGGTGAAGGCGGAGCCCCACGGACACGGCGGGGGGGGGGGGCTCCGTTCCGCTCCCAGGGCCTCCTGGAGCCGAGCCCTTGATGGAGCTGGACAGGGAGGGGTCAGCAATTGCCCTGGGAACGTTGTACTCTCGGCTAATCCCTGACGGAGAAGAGAAGACAATCCCAGCAGGAATGAACTGGCTGGCCCAGAGGCACGGGAGGAAAGGCAGGCACACTGAGGTAGAACTGGGGGAACAGGAATTGCAGCAGTGGGAGGTGGCGACTCCTGGAGCACCTCCTCAGAACGGCCCCAGCCTGCGATGGAGGAGGAGCTGCACATCGACTGATGGGCACAGGGAGGAGACACAGCCGGCACCGAGGGCTGTGAGCGCCAAGGAATAGGTTGAGAAGGTCACAGGATACAAACCTTCTGTCAAGGTCTCTTAGTCAATCGGAGCGATTTTGTGGCGCTGCTCGGCTCGGTGGGCCGGGGAGGCGACAGCGGGACCCGCGGGACCCGAAGGGTGAGCGGACCTGCTGGGAAACAACCTCCTATAGAATTAAAATTATATACACAAATAATTAAAATACATAAATAAATAAATAAATAAAAGTATATACACAATACATGGTATACAGCAATAGAGAAGTTTATATAAACAATATATATAAACAAACAAAAATACATAAAACTCAAGCAAATAAAATATAAACAGATAAAATATGTGCATAAAGAAAATTATATAACTAGATAATAAAAATATAAACAATGACTGTAATAAAACAAACAATATATAAATGAATAAACTATATGAAGTATATAAGTAAAGAAAAAATATATGAACAAGCAATTAAAATAAAATTATGTAAATAAAATTATATAAATATATTAAATAAACCAATATAAATAAATGGAATAAATAAGTAAATATATGAATAGGCATGCAAATAAAATATATAAATAAAATAATACCAATGCATAAATTATAGAAATAAGCAAATAAAATTACATACATAAAATAATGAAGGATATCATAAACAAGTAACTAAAATATATAAATACAATTATAGCAATACATAAAATGAATAAATTTAATAAAATCAATAGAAACTATAAATCTATAAATAAAATATAAACAGGCCCAAACTCCCCAATTTCCAACCCCGCCCCCGAAACGCCTTAAAATCTCCCCAATCCCCCCCAAACCTTACCAACCCCTGCAAAACCCTCCTCCCGGCGCCCACTCCCCCCGCCCCCAACCCCTCCTGTTTCACCCCAAACACCCCTCCCCGCGCCCCGCTCAGGCCCCTCCGCACACGGGGGAGGGGGAAGGGGCGTGCTCATGGTCAATGGCCAATCAGGGAGCGGAGCTTCATCCGGGGACTCGCGAGGCCAAGGGTGGGCACTGCCACTTTAACGTCACGCCCCCTTCTTCCCCCTCAGAGACCTCACCCTCCATTTTAACCCTTCCACGCCCCCTTCCCGCTCCCCTCCCGCCGCGTCCTCTCCCGCGCCATCTCGGGAAAGTCGCCGGGGAAGGCGGCGCCGCGCGGCGCTGGGGAACAAGACGGCGGCGCCACCGCAGCCCTGAAGCGTTCGAAAGGCTCGGAGCAAAATGGCGGCCGCCGCGCTGCCGTACGGGCGCAGCCAACCAGCAAGCGGCATTCTCCTTACGCGGATTGAGGGCGCGGCCATTTTGGGTAAGGGCACGTGACAGAGGCAGCCAATCAGCGCTAAGCGTACATGACTTTTTATTGATTGTTGCATTTAAAATAAATTAATGGGCGGGGCTATGGGTGGGGCTTGCCCTCACTTCCGGTTGGCCTGGGCGGTGCCGATCATGCACTCGTTCACCTGGGGGGGGGGGAGGGGGGAGGGGGGCGGGTGTGAGACCCCAAAACAGTCCCAAATCCCCCCTGTGACCCCTCAGACACCCCCACATCGGCCCCGTCACCCCCCAAATTCCCTTTGTGACACTCCAAACCCCTCTAAATCCCTCCCAAAACTGTCCCAGGACCCCCCAGACACCCTCAAATCCCCCCCAAATCCCCCCAACCCCCCTCAAACTCCCCAAGAACCCTAACTCAAACCCCCTAAATCCCCCCAACCCCTCCATCACCCCCGCAAATCCCCCTAAACTCCCCAGGACCCCCAAATCCCCCCAAATGCCCTCAAATCCCCCAAGCCCCTGAAATCTCCCCAAAACTCTCCACTCCCCCTCCTCCCCAAGACCCCTCAAATCCTCCCCAAACCCCTCTGTGACCCCCCCCAAATTCCCCCATGCCCCCGAGAACCCCCTCAAATTACCCCCGGACCCTCCAAATCCCCTGTGACCCCCTGAAATCCCCCTAATGCCCCCACCCCTGGACCCCTCAAACCCACCTTGCTGGCAAAGCGCAGGGAATTGAGGGATTCCCCAAAATTCTCCTCCAGGGGGGAAATGGTTACAAACATCAACCTGGGGGGAAGGGGGTTAAATTTGGGGGGATCTGGGGGTTCCCCGAAATCCTGGAGTCTCAAAACCTCCTCAGGACAACCCAGAACACCCCAAATTTGGGGGTTTGGGGGAGATTTGGGGAGTTTTAGGGGGGATTTGGGGAGGATTTGGGGGTTCAGGGGGGAATTTGGGGGAAATTGGGAATTTGGGGGAAATTTTGGAATTTAGGAGAGATTTGGGGGAAATTTGGGCTTTGGGAGGGTAATTTGGGGATTCAGGGGTGGAATTTTAGGATTCAGGGGTGGAATTTCAGGATTCGGGGTGGGAATTTGGGGATCTAGAATGGAATTTTGGGATGCAGGGTGGGAATTTTGGAGCTGGCTACTCACACCTTGGCGTTGCCACCGAGGCAGTTCTGGAGCAGGAAGGTAAGTTTGCTGTTCCTGTAGGGAACGTGCTGCTCCTGCCGGGAATTCCGGGGGCTCAGGGAGCTCCAGTCCCGCTTTTCCAGCTCCTCTCCCACTTCCCCACCTCAATCCCACTTTTCCAGCTCCTCTCCCACTTCCCCACCCCAATCCCACTTTTCCCATGTCAATTCCCCATTCCCCCACCTCCAGACCCACTTTTCCCACCCTCATTCCATTTTTCCAACTTATTCCACTTTTCCCATCCCAATTCCTATCTCTTATCCCACTTTTCCCATGCCACTTCCCACTTTTCCTATCCCAACTCCCCATTTTTTCCACCTCCAATCCCACTTTTCCCATCCCAATTCCTCATTTTTCCAATTTACTCCCATTTTCCCATCCTAATTCCCCATTTTCCTTTTCCCATCCCAATTCCCCATCTCGTCCCACTTTTCCCATTCCTATTCCCCATTTTTCTACCTCCAATCCCATTTTTCACCCTTCAATCCCACTTTTCCCATTTCTTATCCCATTTTCCCCATCCCAATTCCCAGTTTTCCCCCTCCAATCCCACTTTTCCCAGCCCTCAGCTTCCCCAAATCCCTTCCCAACATTGCCCCAAAACCCTTCCGTTCCCCCCAGATTTTTGGGATCCCCCGAATTTTTCTGTTCCCCCTGAATTCCAGGAATTGCCCCCCTCAAATTCTTGGAATCTTCCCTTTTCCCTCAGCTCCTGCTTCCCCAAATCCCCCCAAATTTCCCCCCAAATTTCCCCTCAAAATTCCCCCAAACCCCTCCCTCTTTCCCCCAACATTTTTTGGGACTCCCTGGAATTTCAGGAATTCTGGGAATTTCTAGAATCCAGGGAATTGTGTTACCTTGTTGCACAGGGCGGTGATGACGAGCCCCAGGGCGCTGAGGCTGGAATTGATGGATTGGGTTTCCCGGAGCCGATCCCCGACTGATCCCGACTTTTCCAGCCGCTCCGAGCCCGCCAGGTCCACCAGGGTCAGGGTGGCTGGGAATGGGAATGCAGAGAATGAGGCATTGGGGCAGGAAATGTGGGATTGGGGCTGGGAAATGTGGGAATGGGGAATCTGGGACTGGGGCTTGGAAATGTAGGATAAGGGGCAGAAAATGCAGAATTGGCATTAGGAAATCCAGGATTGGAATTGGTAAATGTGGGATTGGGGTTGGGAAATCCAGGCTGGGGGTTGAGAAATGTGGGATTGGGAAATCTGGGATGAGGGATGGAAAATGATGGATTGGGGTTGGGAAATGCAGGATGGGGGCTGCGAAATGTGGGATAAGGGGCATGAAATCCAATCTTGGGGTTGGGAAATCTGGGCTGGGGGTTGAGAAATGTGGGTGGGATTGGGGCTGGAAAATGACAGATTGGGGCTGGGAAATCTGGAATGGGGTTGAAAAATGTGGGATAGGGGTTGGGAAGCGTGGGATTGGGGCTGGGAAATCTGGGGTAAGGGTTGGGAAATGAGGGATTGGGGGCTGGGAAATCTGGGATAGGGGGCAAGAAATCTAGGATTGTGATTGGGAAATGATGGATTGGGGCTGGGAAACGTGGGAATGGGAAGTGCAGGGATGGGGGGCCCTCACAGGCACAGCGCAGGTCCCGTGCCCGCTGCTCCCCCCGGATGCGCAGCTGGAACACGGAGTGGCTGCGGGATGAGCGGTTGTTGAGCCCCGTCTGGGCCACCGAGCGCTGCGAACCTGCCCTCTGCAACAGCTCCAGCACCTGCAACCAACCAAACCCCCCCAAAATGGGGCAATCATTCGAAAATAGGGATAAAACACCCCAAAGCATGGAGAAAACACCCCAAACCCAGCAGAAATCAGCACAAATATGGAGAAAACAGCACAAAATCCACGAATTTTCCAAATTCCCCCCTGAAATCCCCTCAGAATTCCCAAATTCTCCCCCAAATTCCCTCCCAAATCCCCAAGTCCCATCTAAATCCCCCCTAGAATTCCCAAACTCTCTCAAATCCTAGGAATTCTGTGTTTCCTACCCCCTCCTCTCTTTATCACCCAGGTGAGGTTGGGCATGTGCAGCTCCAAATTGCCCCCCGAAATCCCCTTAGATCTCCCCAAATTCCATTGGAATCCCCAATTTCCTGGGGAAATTCAGCCCGAAAGTCTCAAATTTCCCTCTCAGAATTCCGAAACTGCCTCAAATCCCAGGAATTCCGTGTCCCCACCTCCTCCTCTCTTTATCAGCCGCGGGAGGTTGGACACGTGCAGCTTTAAATTCCCTCAGAAACTCAGAAATCCCCTCAGAACTCCCAAATTTCCCCCTAAATCCCCAAGTCCCACCTATATCCCTCCCCCGCATTCCCAAAGCCTTCCAAATCCCGGGAGTTCCGTGTGTTCCCCACCTCCTCCTCGGTCTCCACAGGCACCCAGGTGAGGTTGGGCACGTGCAGCTCGTCGCTGTTGGGGCTGACCCGCCGGATGTCCAGGTCGGCCGCGCGCTGCCCTTTGACAAGCAGCAAATCCCGCAGGGACTCGTTGTAGATTTCCAGGAAACTGGCTGAGAAATGGTACTAAAACCGTCTCAGTCGCACCCCAAATCCAGGGGATTCATCCCAAAAACCCCACGATCCCCGTGGTTTCTTGGGAATTACCTGCCAGCCTTTGCCTGCCAGGTCGTGGGTGCTCTGGAAGAGGTGCTGGACGGCCCTCGGGATCATCCCGCGGGATTCGGGGGCTCCCGGAGGTTCCGGCCCTTCCATCGTGAAGGTTTTGCCGCTTCCCGTCTGCCCGTAGGCGAAGATGCACACGGGGTAGCCATCCAGGGCAGACTGGGAATGGGAATGCCGGCAATGTGGGGGGGTGGGAAGTTTGGGGGGGATTTGGGGGATCAGAGAGGATTTGGGAGGAATTTAGGAATTCTAAGGGGGATTTGGGAATTCTAAGGGGGGTTGCAAAAAGGCTTGATGGGAATTTGGGGGCATTCAGGGGGAAAATTTGGGGGATTCAGGGGGAAATTCAGGGAATTTGGGGGAAAATTTGGGGGACTTCGGAGGATATTCAGGGGATTTGGGGGGAAATTCAGGGAATTCGGGGGGAAAATTCAGGGGATTTCGGGGAAAATTCAAGGGATTGGGGGGAAATTCAGGGGATTTGGGGGGTCAGATGGAGGATTTGGGAATTCTGAGGGAGGTTTTGGAAGGGGATTTGGGGGAATTTCAGGTGATTTGGGGGGATATTCAGGGGATTTGGGGGGATATTCAGGGGACTTGGGATATTCAGGGGATTTGGGGGGATATTCAGGAGATTTGCGGGGATATTCAGGAGATTTGCGGGGATCAGAGGGAGGATTTGAAAAGAGTTTAGGAATTCTATGGGGGAGTTGGGAATTCCAGAGGGGTTTGGGAAGAGGCTTGATAGGAATTTGGAGGGATTCAGGGGGAAATTTGGGGGAAATTTAGGGGATTTGGGGGAGTCAGAGGGAGGATTTGGGAATTCTGAGGGGGGTTTGGGAGGGGGTTTGGGGGGATCTGGGGCAAATCGGAGGGAAATCCAGGAAATTTGGGGGGGACTTGGGGAGTCAGAGGATTTGGGAAGAACTGAGGAATTCTAAGGGGGATTTGGGAATTCTGGGCAGGATTGAGAATTGTGGAAGGGATCGGAAAGAGTTTTGGGGAGAAATTCAGGGAACTCAGGGCGTCAGAGGGAAGATTTGGGAAAGAGTTGGGAATTCTGAGGGGATTTGGAGGAGCTTTGGCAGGGGGAATTGGGGTGAATTTAATGGATTTTGGAGTTCAGGTGAGTTTTGGAAGGCATCTGGACAAGCACTTGCATCTCCTGGAATATTTCCCGCTGGGAAAACTCGAGGTGGGAGGTGGGGTTGGATTTGAGGGGCTTAGGTGGAAACTAGGGGGAATTTCATGGAATTTTTTGGGGTCCAAGTGGGATATTTTAGGATACAGGTGAGTTCTAGTGGAAGCACACCTGGACCAAGAGCTGCTGGATCTCCTGGAATATTCCCCACTGGGAAGCTCCAGGTGGGATTCAGTGAGGGGAGGATTCAGGTGGGATGGAGCAGGATTTGGGTGGAATTCCTGGGATTCTGGAGCTCAGGGGCAGATGTTTTGGGATGCAGGAAGGGGAGTTTTGGGAGGCACCTGGACAAGTAGCTGGATCTCCTGGAATATTTCCTGCTGGGAAGCTCCAGGTGGGAACACACGGTCGAAAGTGAAGTCGTAGCGCAGCTCCGGCCGCCGCTCCCGCCCCACGTGGGACTGTGGGGAAAAAAATGGGAATTTTGGGGGGGGAAAATGGATGTTTTTGAGGAAAAAGGGGAGTTGGAGGGGGAGCAGGGGCAAAAAAGGACATTTTTGCCCCCCCAAAAAGGCCTTTTTTGCTTCACAAAAAGGCCTTTTTGAAGGGAAAAAGGATGTTTTTGAGGGGAAAAAGCAGGATTTTTGAGGGGAGAAAAAAGGGATTTTTGAGAAGAAAAAAGGGATTTTTGAGAAGAAAAAAGGGATTTTTGAGAAGAAAAAAGGGGTTTTTGAGGGGAAGGAACAGAATTTTTGAGGGAGAAAGAACGGTATTTTTGAGGGGAAAAAGTGAAATTTGTGAGGGGGAAAAGACATTTTTAAAGAGAGAAAGGGGATTTTTGAGGGGAAAAAACATTTTTGAGGAGAAAAAACATTTATGGAAGGGGCCATTTTTGAGAGGGGCAAAAAGGGATTTTTGAGGGCCATTTTTGGGTGCACCCTGCTCACCTCATCAGGCCGGGTGAGGACGAGTGCTTTGGGGTCCTGGGGGGAGAAGCGCAGGTGCTGCAGCCCCCGCTGCCGCTCTGACTCCTCCGGCAGCACCGGCCGCACGCGGCAGAACACACGGATGTTCCCCTGGAAAACAGGGAAGAAACAGGATTTAGGGATTTCAGGAAGTTTGGGGGGGGGAGTCCCCTCATAAAATCCTCCCCTCCAGGCCCACTTTGAGCTCCTGGATGTCGTTGTGGAGGCGGCGCCGCTCCATCTCCAGCAGGTGGATCCGCTCTTCCTGCTGATCCAGGAGGGATTTTTGGGATCTTTCCACCTCCTGGAGCGCAGCCATCTGGTCCAGCTTCATTTGCAGCTGCTCCTGGATCTGCGCCATGTGAGCCTGGGGAGAGGAAGAGGGGTGAAAATGGCACAAAAAGGGCAAAAAAAAGGTGGAATTTGGGCAAAATTCCCATGGTTTTCCCAATTTTTCCTCATTTTTGAGATGCCCCAAGGGCTTTTGACGCCAAAAAGAAAAGCCACAATTGGAACAAATCCCCCAATTTTTTTTTCCCCTTTTTTCTCCCACAGTCTGAGGAGCCCCCCTGAGGTATTTTTGGTTGAAACCCAGTAACCGTGGTACAAATTCCCATTTCTTGCCTTTTTTCCCTTGACTCCTCCCAGTTTTCCAGCCACTCTGTGAGGAATTTTGGGTGCAAAAAACCGGGAATTGATGCTACCCTCAGATTTCCTGCCTTCCTCCCCCCCTTTGGGACCCCTTGGTGCATTTCACATTGGAAAGCACTGAGAAACGGCTCTGGATTCCCAATTTTCCCCCCCCCTCCTCCCCCAGATATTTTTTTTCAGGAATTCCAGGCTGCATGTCATGGATTCAGGTGGCTGAAGTTTTGGTAACAGGGGGCCATAGAGATAATTTCGGTTAGAAGCTACTAGAAGCTTTTGCTGTTGTATGAAAAAGCCAATGATAGCCAGTTCCAGGATGGAATTCCTACCACTAGCCAATGGTATTGGCTTCTGTGATTGATAACATATTTAAGAACACAGGGAGAGAAGCTGGAGAGAAGAGCAGAGGAAAGCATGAGATAGCAATGTAGGCTCCAAATTCAGTGTAGCAGGAGGGGGAAGGAGAGGCCCAGAGGCCACCCTCTCCCCCTCCAGCAGGGGAAAGACTGAAAGTCCAGACCCCTGCCACCTGTGTAAGATTACTGGTGTGAGGAGATCCCCCTACAGCTCATGTAGAAGCCCACACTGGAATAAGTGGTTGCACAAGGAAGGTGAGACTTCGTGGGAGGCCTAAGATGAAACAGAGTCTTGCTGGAGACCTGTGGCCCATGGAGAGGGAAACCTACGCTGGAGCAAGTTGTCCCCAGGCAGGACTTGTGGCCCTGTGGGGGATCTACACTGATGCAGCTGATTTGTGGCTCAAGGGACAGCAGATTAGGGAAGAACTGTGGCCCGAGGGATGGACCCACGCCGGAGACGTCTGTCGAGGAGTGTCCCATGGGGAGGGACCCCACAGGAAACAGGGAAAGGACTCAAAGCCATCACCCCCTGTAACTGTGGTAACGACCATTGGTGAAGCAAGTCCATGGAGACCATCAGAATGCAGAGAGAGAGAGAAACTTCTGCGCCTGATGGAAAAGTGACCCCCCAGGACAGTGGACTGGGAAGAATTCCTGTCTAAGAGATGGATTTTAACAGTGGCAGAAGCAGCCACTGGCTGTGACTTCCTCCTCCCTTTCCCATCTCCCTGCGCTGTTGGGAGAAGGACTGGGAACATGGAGGGAAGGGGGGAGTGGAGAAAAGGTGTTGTGTTTTAAGACTGTTTTATCCTTTTACTCTTTAGTTCTTATTCTCTTAGCAGTAAATCGAGCTTTTAGTTGAAGTCTGTTAGCAATAAATTTAAGTTCTATTCACTTTGAATCTGTTTGCTTGTGACAATTAATTACTAAGCCAGTCTCCCAGTTTTTATCTCTCCTCAGGAATTCTCTGACTGGTTTTTGCTTTTAGAGGGGGGAAGAGGGGAGAAAAGTAAGTGTTTAAAATCCAGCCAGGGTTGAAACCCTGACACCGCACCTTTGTGTTCTCTAGGTTTTCTGACAGTGCTTGCTCCCGAGCTCTGCCCTCATCCCGCTCCCGGCGCCGCTGCTGCTCCTCCTCCTCCAGACGCCGCTTTTCCAGAGCCAAACCCTCGGCCAGGGAGCGGCTCCGCTCCAGCTGCACCTCCAGGGAGCTGAGGGGAAAGTGGGGGGAAATCGCATGAAAATGGGCAATCCCCGAATTTGGGGCAGGGCCGGGGCCATTCAGGGAAGATTCCTGAGGGATTCCGGGGGGATTGAAAGGAAATGGTGAGAGATTTCGGGGGATGGTTTGAAGGGTTCTGAGGGGCTTCTGTGGCAGCCTTGAGGGAACTGGGGGATTTGGAGGGAATTTTTACGATTTGGGGGGGACTTTTGTGGGGATCCTTGAGAGGATCTCAGAAAATTCCCATTTTGAGGGATTTTGAGGAAATCTTTGGAAGTTGAGGCGATTTGGGGAAATTCTGGAGCAGCTGGAGAGAATTGGGAAATTTTTGAAGGGTTTGGGGAAATTTTAGGGATACTGGGGAAATTTCAGGGGATTATTTGAAGGGTTCTGAAGGAATTTTGTGGGATCTTAAGGGGTCTGAGGGATTTTGAGGAAATTCTGGCTATTTTTGGGGGGAATTGGGGAATTTTTTGAAGGGTTTTGGGGGAATTTTGCAGGATCTTAAAGGGTTGGGGGGATTTGGAGGAAATTTTTGCCATTTTGAGGGGAATTTGTGGGGAATTGGGGACTTTTTTGAAGGGTTCTGGGGAAATTCTGTGGGAGCTTGAAGAGCTTGGGGGATTTGGAGGGAATATTTGTGATTTTTGGGGGGAATTCAGGGAAATTTTAGGGAAACTGGGGAAGTTTGGAGGGATGATTTGAAAGGCTTTGAGGGAATTCTACAGGATCTTGAGGGATTTGGAGGTCAATTTTCAGGGATTTTGAGAAGCTTTTGATGGATTCTTCATGGAATTTTAGAGGTTTTGGGTGGATTTCGGGGGAATTTTGAGTAAATTTTGGACAGATTTTAGGTGGAATTTGAAGGATTTCAGATGAATTTCAATGGATTTCAGCTCAGTTTAGAAGGATTTCCTGGGATTTGGTCAGATTTCAGGTGGATTTTGAGGGATTTGCTGGTTTTTTTGAGTGGATTTTCAACAGATTTTGGGTGGAATTTGAAGGATTTCAGATGAATTTCAATGGATTTCAGCTCAGTTCTGAATTTGGTCGGATTTCAGGTGGATTTTGAGGGATGTGGATGGATTTTTAGGGTTTTTTTAAAGGAGTTTAGGGCAGTTTGGGTGGTTCCCTCACCCCACTCTGAGGCAGCTTTCCCGTCTGGAGGGGGATTTTGGACAGATTTTGGGTGGAATTTGAAGGATTTCTGACGAATTCTAATGAATTTCAGCTCAGTTTTGAATTTGGTCAGTTTTCAGGTGCACTTTGAGGGATTTGGGTTTTTTTTTAGAGGGGTTTGGGTGGATTTCGGTTGATTTCAGGTGGATTTTGAGGGATCTGGATCGATTTGGCTTTTTTTTCCAAGGCATCTGGGCAGATTTGGGGCAGTTTTGGTGATTCCCTCACCCTACTGTGGCGATGAGGTCGCTCTCTCGGCGTTCCCGCTCCATGAGCTCCCTCTGGAGTTGTGCCAGGCGCTCCTGGAGCTGCTGGTTCCCACATTCCAGGTGTTGTTTGTGGCTCTCCAGCTCCCTCAGCCGCTCCCGGGCCTTTCCCAGCTCCTCCCGCAGGTCCCCCACTTGGCCCCGCAGGTCCCAGGGGGGCCGTTTTTGGGGGGCAGGGGGTCCACAGGGGGCTCCTGAGGGGACACACCAAGAGGGTTAGGGACATCAGGAATGGGGTTTGGGGTCATGGGGACAGTGGGGAGGGGCTTAGGGACACTGGGGGAGTCTTGGGGATACAAAGTGGGAATTGAGGACACTTGGAGGGTTCTTGGGACCACCAGGGGGGAATTGGGGCCACCAGGGGGGGAATTGGGGCGTCAAGGGGGAAACTGGGGACACAGGGGTATCTTAGGGACACCAAGGGGGGTCTTGGGGGGCGAACTGGGGTGTCAAGGAGGGAACTGGGGACACAAGGGGGGGTCTTGGGGACACCAGAGGGGAAATTAAGGTGTCAAGGAAGACCTTGGGGCCACAAGGGGGGAATTGGGGACACCAGGTGGGGTCTCAGGACTTACCTGCTCGCGGTGCAGCTGCAACGGTCGACGCCTTCCAGGGGAGACCTGGGGGCGGAGAGGGGACATTTTGGGGGGTTTGGGGACACCAAGGGGGTCTGGAAGGGAGGGGACATTTTGGGAGGGTTTGGGGACATGGGAGGGTCTCTGTTGGGGGTCTGGGGTCTCACCCGCTCGTGGTGCAGCTACAACAGTCGCTGCCTTTTTGGGGTGGCCTAGGGGGAAGGGACATTTTTCAGGCGGTTTAACCTCCTCTGTCCCCCCCAGCCCCATTAACCCCCAAATGTCCCCCAACCCACCCCCTTTTTCCCTTTAATACCCTCCTCCCACAGATCCCTTTAACACCCCTCAAATCCCCCAAGACCCCCTTTAATCCCCCAAATGCACCCAAAGCCCCCCAAACCCACCTGAACCCCCCAAAGCCCCTCAAGACCCCCTCCCCCTTTAACCCACCCCAGACCTCCTTTTACTCCCCTCAGGTCCCTTTAACCCCTCCAAATCCCTCCTTAAAGCTCCTTCATCCCTGTTACCCCACCCCAAACACCCCCAAAACCCCCTCAAATGCCTCTCTAATCCCTCCAGACCCCTTTGACCCCCCTCAGTCCCCCTTGAACTCCTCCTAAATGCCCCTTGAAACTCCCCTAGACCCACTTCAACCCCCTCCCCCTCGACCATGTATAACCCCCCCAAAATCCCTTTTAATCCTCGAAACCCCCTCTTACCGTTCTTTCCCGCCGCCACCGCCCGGAGGGGGGCCCTGGGAGGAACTCTTTCTCCACCGGGGCCGGGCCGGGCCCGTTTCTGTGAGGGAACAACAACAACATAAGGCACCTCCGTGACCGGGTAAAACCCCACCCAAATCCACCCGGGGGGAGATCCGCACTTGTCGGGGGGGTCCTGCCGCTGTCCCCTCGGCGCCGGGGCCCGAAGGGGGCCGCTTGTCCCGGGCCCGCGGCACCGGGAGCCGCGACAGCGCCGGGAGCGCTCCGGACCCGACCTCACGCGCCGCCGCCATCTTCTATCTCGAGCCTTCGAACAGCCGCGCGCGCTCAGGGGTACGGCGGCTCAGCCAATGGCATGCGAGCCCTGAGGGGACGGCCCCGCCCCCTCAACGGATCGACCAATGGAAGGACGCAAAGGGGGCTCGGAGAGCCAATGGGAGAGCGGAGGCGGGGCCAAGTGGGAGGAGGGGTGGCCCGCCGAGGCTTAACGGCCACGGAGGGGGCGGGGTTTGGGAGGGGGCGGGGTTTGGGAGGGGACGGGGTAGGAGGACAGGGAAGATGATGGTCTGTTTTATGTCTTTATGGGGATGCAATTACGTTTTACAATCCGTTTGTTTTCCTTCCCTCACGGGTTACATTCACCCATTTGACCTGTATTTATTACAAGCGTGATCCTATCAGTCAAATCTATATTGAAAGCCCCGGAAATGAAGTATCGAGCCTCTTAATTCCCCCAGATGTGAGCATAGCAAACCCCTCCCGGGTCCGGCCGTGGGTGTGGGGGGCGCAGGCCCCTTAGGAGCGAGGATGGTCTTGGGGCGGGTCCTGCCAGCTCGGCAAGGCCGGCTGGATCTGCGGTGCCGGGTCCCGTTGCTTCGGGGGTCCCAGGGGCAGCGGCGGGACAAGCTGGTGCCGCTCCAGGCGCTGTCGGAGCTCCGGGATCGGCGGGGACCAGGGCAGTCCCTGCCCCGGCTGCATCGGGGGCTCCGGCGCCGGTCCCGGCCGGGGCCGCTCTGGGCGTGGCGAGGGCAGGCGCGGTTACCGCGGCAACGGGGACGGGAGGCTGGGTCCTCGGGACTGCGGGAGGAGGAGCAGGGGCGGTGTCTGCAGCCGGGGTGCCTCCCCCGGCCGACACGGGACCCTCCGGCTCCGCCATGAGGGGCGGAGACAGAACCGCCTCCTCCCTCCAGCCTCCTCCCCAAAGGGGTCGCGGCTGCCTCGGCCGCACCGCTCAGTTCCACTGCGGAAGGGGGAAAAGAAAAACCGAGAGCTTTTCCAGCCTCTGCTTCACAGCATGGGAGAGGAGCAGATTAAAGAGAAGCAAGTCAGTCTCGGCTGACGACAGGAGGCAAAGGCGGGGCCTCCCCCCTTTTGACCCCTCAAGCGCAAACGTTGAAAGTCGGCATAGTGATTTTACTGATACAGGCACAGTAGTCTCTGAGGATAAATCAAACGATAGCTCGGGGGAAGGGGATGAAAAAACACTTGTAGTAAGAACAAAAACAAGGGGAAGAAGGGTACGGGAAGCTCTGTCAGACCCCAGGCCCGTGGCTAGGAGAATAAGGGCAAAAAAGGAAAAACCTGAGGTAGAAGCCCCCTTAAGGCAAGCCATGAGCATCCATGGTCCAGTTTTGATAAAAGTTCCTGTTATAAGTTAGTATAAGAATTTAGACAACTCAATTCCAATTAAACATTGATAAATTTATTAAACAAGCGATAATAAAGCAAAACAGCGCTGGGTGGCCTGGAGGGCAAGTGCCCTGCCGAGGCACACACCAAAATGTAGTAAATGTTCCTTTTTATACATTTCCAAGTCCGAGTTTTGAATGCAGCTGCGTTGAGGCTTGAGTTCGTGGCTCATTGTTAAGTGGTCATCTGGCATTTGTCAGAGATGAAAGGTGCAGTTTCTTATCAGTTGTAAATTTTACTGATACTGATACTTGTTTGTTTAGCAAGATGTCTGCAATTATTTTTACTGACGCTTGCTTGATTAACAGGATGAAACTTACCTTGTTGAATTATAACAAAAATTCCTTATTCCCTCATACACATAAGATCTTATGAACAAAGTTAACCCTTCTATTACAGTTCCTTTTTCTCTGGTTGAATTGTGGCAATGGAAAGCTTCAGTCGGGGCATATAGAGATAACCCAGACAGAGTGGCTAGTTATGAGCAGAGAGCAATAAAAACACAAAATCCAAATTGGTATGACCTGGAAGTGATAATGGAAACATTATTAGATCCCCACAGAGAAGGACGTGGTCAAGCGAGCTGCCCGGACTGCAATTGAGATGCTGATAACTTCTGGGCAAATTCAAGGGAAACTCAAGGATGTGTTCCCCTTAGAGGATCCCAAGTGGGACCCCAATGTACCAGAAAAAAAAAAAAAAAACATTGAAACGCTATCAGGACTGGGTAGTTTATGGTTTTAAGCATGGAATTCTGAAGGCAGTTAATTGGTAAAAAATGTATGAAGTGAAACAAGACAAAAATGAGTCTCTCACAGACTTTCTGAAGAGGCTAAAAGAGGCCATATGAAAATACATAGACATAGACATAGACACAGAATCAGATCTGGAGAAAAAGCACTTGGTCTATTTATTTATAGGTCAGTCTGCAGGTGATATAAGGAAAAAGCTGCGAAGGTGGGTGATAAAAAGGATATTAGTGAGTTATTGGATATAGCTTGGATGGTCTATCAGAATAGAGATCAAAAAAGCAGAGGAAAGGTGCTGGAGCTGGATAGTAACTACCAGGGACACCAAAAACACAATGTCCACCGTGAAAATTATAGATCCAATCACCAGCATGATAAGGCTAATGATCATTGTCCTTTCTGTGAAAGGAAGAGGCACTGGAGAAGAGGTTGTCCAGACTTGAAGAGAAGTGAATTTCCACCTCCCCCAGCCCCACAACTGACTGTGGACCAGAATGCATGAAGGGGACCAGAGGATTCTACCCCAGCAGAGCCTCTGATTGTAGCTAAACTGGGGGAGGGGGGTGAGATGTGGAATTCTTGGTTGATACAGGTGCAGCATATTCCGTGTTAAACACCTTGGAAGGGAAGCTGAGTCATGATGCTGTAACTGTGGTTGGTGCCACAAGGGTAAGTGAAACCAGGCCTTTCTTCAAACCGTTGAGATTTAAATTAGGTAAACACTGGGTAACTCATCAATTCCTCTATATGCCAAATTCCTCCATGCCTTTATTGGGTAGAGATTTATTAGAGAAATTGGAAGCTGAAATGAAATTCTACAAGGGGAGAGGAATAAAAGTTATTATCCCTGACACTAAATATGTCGAAGTAGCTACCTTCTTCATACAGGAGAACCACGGAGAGATCCCCGCAGAGGTTGAGAATGCTGTCATCCCTATACTTTGGGCTAGAGAATATTCTGGGAGGTCCAAACAAGCAGAACCTGTAAACATCACCCTCAAATCAGGAGCAACATCTGTAAGACAAAAACAATACCCCTTGAAGCTAGAAAGCCGTCAAAGTTTAGCACCTCTGATTGAAAAGTTTCTCAAATTTGGCTTCTTGGTAAAATGTGAGTTCAAATTCAACATCCCCATCTTGCCAGTGAAAAAGGCTATCGATTGGTCCAAGATCTGAGGGCAATCAACAGAATAACTGAGGATATATACCTCGTAGTCACCAACCCCTATACTGTCGCGGTCGAGGCGGGAGGGCGACATGGGTTTCAGGATACCAGCAGCTTTTTTTATTGCAACAGTGCAGCTACCTTTATACAGTTCTGGGGTGACAAATGTACACACAGCATTGGTTTAGCACTATCATAAGAACTTATGATTGGACATACAGCCACATGTCCTAACACAATAGGCTGACATTCCTCACAGGAAACCCACTGTGTCACAGTCCTACTGTCCATGGTTAACCCTCTACCAGGTGTAAGAAGTTCTATCTTCAGGATTTCAGCATACTGAGAGCCCAGAACCAGCTGGGCTCCCCCACACTATACTTTATTAACCACATTAACAAAGGAATTAGAACAATAGAGAAAGTATATTTAGAATCAGTCCATATATTTTTTTGTCTTCATTTTGTCAGCTCTAGGGCTCAGGTGAGAGCTGTCAGTTCTGCTTTCTGGGCTGACATTCCAGCAGGCAAAGGATTTGATTCAATTACCTGTTCTGTGGTGGTTACTGCACAGCCAGCCATCCTTACACCTTGCTTTACAAAGCTGCTGCCGTCTGAGATCCAGTTGTCTGTGTTCTGGAATGGTTCTTCTTTGAGGTCTGGGTGGCTGGAGTGCACTGCAGTCATGCTTGATCAGTTGTGCTGACATTCTTCCTTCTAGGAATGAAGCTGGATTGACTATGTTAGTCACCTGAATGGTTATGTCATCTGATTTGACCAGGATTGCCTGGAATTTCAGGAACCGGGAAGGTGACAACCAATGGTTCCCTTTTTGTTCCAGCACTGCTGATACAGTGTGGGACACCAGCACAGTCATTTTCTGTCCCATTGTGAGTTTCCTGGCTTCTTCTATGTTCACAACTACCACTGCTACTGCTCTCAGGCAGGTGGGCCATCCTTTGCTCACTTCATCTAGCTGTTTGGAGAAGTAGCCATGGCCCTTTTGTATGGCCCCAATTGCTGAGCCAGGACCTCTAAAGCCATTATTCCCTGGCATTTATGTGAGAACAGCCAGAAGGGCTTTATTACGTCAGGCAAGCCCAATGCTGGGGCTTTCATGAGCTGTTGCTTTAGCCGCTTGAAGGCTTTGTCTGCCTCATGGGTCCAAACTATGTTATTTTTAGTTATTTTCAGCAGATCACACGAGGGCCTTACGAGTACTCCATATTGTAAGGTTAAGGTTAGGATTAGGGTTAGGGTTAGGGTTTAGGTAACATTTTGATTAGAGTAAGAGATAGGATAACTATTAGTGGTTAGGGTTTGGCACTAGTTTCAGATTGAGAGCATTTTTTAAGTCTAGGTCTAGGGTTGAGTACTGACGAAGATACCTCCCAGACAAGGATGCCTGCACACAAAGCTCTTGCTCTTTCTGTAGTGCTGAGAGTGGTGCACCAACTGCACTAGATAGATGGTGAGTCAGGGTTAGGGTTAGGGTTCGGGGCTATGCTTTAAGGTTAGGGTTAGGGTTAGGGTTAGAATTAGGTTAGGGTTAGGGTTTAGGTAACGTTTGGGTTAGAGTATGGGATAGGGTTACAGTTAGGGTTTAGGGTTTAGGGTTAGGTTTAGGTTTAGATCTTTTTCACTGACAGGATGAGGATGTTGAATTTGGACTCACATTTTACCAAGAAGCCAAATTTGAGAAA